AGTCGATTTGGCAATGACCCAGGCCCCACTAGATTAGTCCGCGATGGTGTCAGAGATTCTTGACCTCTTGGAGATGAGAAAAGCGGTGTCAGAGACAAGGTGGCTCAGCCTTCTGTGATCAGCACAACAAAGAAATCCCTCATCAGCAGCTACAAGGACAACCCGATTCAACTTCTATTTCAAGTAAACATCAGCTGAGTTCTCCCACCACCGTTCAGATGTTATGATGGCATTACTCAGCAGACCGATCAACCCAACTCTTAAGCTTCAATCTGTACTGAAGGACTTTGCAAGACTCCAACCTCATGTCAATGTTGCAGCCATTTGCTTGTAACATGTAATGCTCAGTCTGACTGGACCATATTGGGATATGGTGACAAGTGGAAATATGAATTATCTGAACCTCTACAGCCATCCAGCCCATGCATGACATACTCCAGGTGTGGCGACAATCCACTTAACTTCCTCCAGTCAGATGATGATGTCTTTACAGATTTCCCCAAAAACAGGTTTGTTGTTTTATTTGTTATAAATAATCGCGTAGAAATGACAAGTTTATAACTTGTTTCATATTTAAAAGTGGTAAGAAATCTGGAATGATATATCCTAAAATAAAACATGAAAGTCATTCTTTACTTTCTTTGAATAATGATCAGGACAGTAAATATACAAATATACATTGAAAAAAATGCTGTTTCAGGTCAAGTCCTCTGCATGTCGCTGCCAAGACCCAGCCATCCAACCTAGACTTGTTCCAGCAGACGACTGTGAGCTCCTTGATGGTTTAAAGTCACAGCCTGTGGCAATCAACAAGGACTTTTGCCAGGTGGCATATATGCTTCTGAATCAACTGAAATTGAGTTAAACAGGACACACAACAGTCACCTCACAAATCTGGCTTGTTGTGAAAGAAACTTTGGCTCCCTGATTCCAGTCAAAATCGCATGCAGAAATGCTACATTGCATTACCACTTTCGACCATCGATATGATCAAGAAGAACAGGGAATCTCTCTTGATTGGATAAACAAACACCCCGTTTCAGAGAAAGAATTTCTTTTAAAACTGCCCGCAGATGTGGCCAGAATCTCCGCTGCGAAACACAGAGCAGGAGAGAAGGCTGAGTCCCTCTTGCAACAGGGAACTCCTTGCTGAAGGAACTTCGGCTTTTCTTGAGAAGGCCAAGAAGTCCAAGAATGTTCAACAACCAAAGCGGCGATGCACAGAAGCTTTTCCTGAAGCCATTCAAACCTTTAAAGTGGATGACTGGATTGCTGTTGCCTCACGACAATGGATGGTATCCAGGTAAACATGTATAAACATAATATACATTCAGGTTACTGTCAGCAGTACTAAAAATAATAATTAGAATAATTTTAGCAAGCATTTGTTATGGTAATCAGTAAATTTCTAACTGGTGTGAAGAACAGTTAATGGTTAACAAAATGTATATAATATATATTGTTGTTTCAGGGTCAGATCATCTATGCCTCCTCGGCATCTCATCCCTTCAGCTATGAAGTGAAGTTCCTTCACCCAACCAGTATTCCTGGGCAGTTTAAAGTATCCATCCAGGGATGACCAGTCCATCATCAGCAGTCAGTTTATTTTTTCAAGTAGCCTCAGCCATCCTGGAGCCAACATCTGGTGGGAGAATGTTTTTCCCTCCCACAATATCTACAACTTCAATCAGCATATAAAGAGACTACAAACAGAGGTAAGCTGCAATTCAATGAATACAAATAATACTTATTGCAACTCAACATCTGGAAAGTAAAAACAAAATATCATATTGTATATTTTTTCATGTTGTAACATAAGGATGGCGTTGGAGGTGTTCAAAATGACTGTTATTTCTTGCAGGTATTGGGCAGCATAGACATGTGGGAAGGTGTCCAGTGGGAAGGTGTCCAGTGAAGAAGCTTCATGTCTGTTACTCATGCTGAGATAGACAATTTTGTGTGATTTTGTGTAAACAATGACATTTCTAGTGATACCCATTAGGTTATAGTACAGTTAAATTATCATCTTATTATCCATATGTTTTGACTATGAGTATGATATTGTAATGTTTATATTGGTCATGTAATTCAGATTATTAATAAAGTATATGAGTGTGTTTGTTGTTTATTTATGATATTTAGGAGCAAACTTTGTATGAATTTCTTATTATCCATATGTTTTGACTATGAGTATGATATTGTAATGTTTATATTAGTCATGTACTTCAAGATTAATAAAGTATGAGTGTGTTTGTTGTTTATTTATGATATTTAGGAGCAAACTTTGTATGAATTTCTGGGTTGGTAGACTGTACTTCCCATGGAAGCATCGTCCATTACTTGACACTCCCAATTCCTTCATTTTTGCTTTAATTTCTGGAATAACTCTTGAGGCATTAGATATAGGTGAATTCTGATGCCAAAAATGAAATCAGTGGTATCCAATTACCCTGGCATGTACCAAATTTTGTTTAAATACACCAACAAACAGCAAAGTTTTGAAAAAAATATAGATATTTTGTCGAAAAAGCGGTCCGCGACTTTCCAGTAATAATTATGAACAAAACTGATCTAGACCGGGGACCCCTAATTTCGATGATTTGTTTGCCTCTAAAATATTTATTTATGGTCCGATTTTAAAAAGGAAAAAGTGATCTGAAATCAGTAGAATGTCATCTATCAGGAAATGTTATTTATAATCAGTTATCTGTAATATGAAAAAATCATGTGGTATATAGCTACTATAAAAGGTCAAGGCAAGGCTGTCAGTAATCTATAAAGGTCTTGACAAGGAGCACAGGACTGTTCTCTCCTATAAAGGTCAAGGCAAGGCTGTCAGTAATCTATAAAGGTCTTGACAAGGAGCACAGGACTGTCCTCACCTATAAAGGTCAAGGCAAGGCTGTCAGTAATCTATAAAGGTCTTGACAAGGAGCACAGGACTGTCCTCACCTATAAAGGTCAAGGCAAGGCTGTCAGTAATCTATAAAGGTCTTGACAAGGAGCACAGGACTGTTCTCTCCTATATAAAGGTCAAGGCAAGGCTGTCAGTAATCTATAAAGGTCTTGACAAGGAGCACAGGACTGTTCTCTCTCTATAAAGGTCAAGGCAAGGCTGTCAGTAATCTATAAAGGTCTTGACAAGGAGCACAGGACTGTCCTCTCCTATGAAAGGTCAAGGCAAGGCTGTCAGTAATCTATAAAGGTCTTGACAAGGCACAGCACAGGCACTGTCAGTAATCTCTTGACAAGGAGCTATAAAAAGGTCAAGCAAGGCTGTCAGTAATCTATAAAGGTCTTGACAAAGGAGCACAGGACTGTTCTCTCCTATGTAGGTCAAGGCAAGGCTGTCAGTAATCTATAAAGGTCTTGACAAGGAGCACAGGACTGTTCTCTCCTATAAAGGTCAAGGCAAGGCTGTCAGTAATCTATAAAGGTCTTGACAAGGAGCACAGGACTGTTCTCTCCTATAAAGGTCAAGGCAAGGCTGTCAGTAATCTATAAAGGGCAAGGCTTGACAAGGACAAGGAGCACAGGACTGTTCTCTCCTATAAAGGTCAAGGCAAGGCTGTCAGTAATCTATAAAGGTCTTGACAAGGAGCACAGGACTGTTCTCTCCTATAAAGGTCAAGGCAAGGCTGTCAGTAATCTATAAAGGTCTTGACAAGGAGCACAGGACTGTCCTCTCCTATAAAGGTCAAGGCAAGGCTGTCAGTAATCTATAAAGGTCTTGACAAGGAGCACAGGACTGTTCTCTCCTATAAAGGTCAAGGCAAGGCTGTCAGTAATCTATAAAGGTCTTGACAAGGAGCACAGGACTGTCCTCTCCTATAAAGGTCAAGGCAAGGCTGTCAGTAATCTATAAAGGTCTTGACAAGGAGCACAGGACTGTCCTCTCCTATAAAGGTCAAGGCAAGGCTGTCAGTAATCTATAAAGGTCTTGACAAGGAGCACAGGACTGTTCTCTCCTATAAAGGTCAAGGCAAGGCTGTCAGTAATCTATAAAGGTCTTGACAAGGAGCACAGGACTGTTCTCTCCTATAAAGGTCAAGGCAAGGCTGTCAGTAATCTATAAAGGTCTTGACAAGGAGCACAGGACTGTTCTCTCCTATAAAGGTCAAGGCAAGGCTGTCAGTAATCTAATCTATAAAGGTCTTGACAAGGAGCACAGGACTGTTCTCTCCTATAAAGGCCAAGGCAAGGCTGTCAGTAATCTATAAAGGTCTTGACAAGGAGCACAGGACTGTTCTCTCCTATGAAGGCCAAGGCAAGGCTGTCAGTAATCTATAAAGGTCTTGACAAGGAGCACAGGACTGTTCTCTCCTATGAAGGTCAAGGCAAGGCTGTCAGTAATCTATAAAGGTCTTGACAAGGAGCACAGGACTGTTCTCTCCTATAAAGGTCAAGGCAAGGCTGTCAGTAATCTATAAAGGTCTTGACAAGGAGCACAGGACTGTTCTCTCCTATAAAGGCCAAGGCAAGGCTGTCAGTAATCTATAAAGGTCTTGACAAGGAGCACAGGACTGTTCTCTCCTGTCAGTAATCTATAAAGGTCTATAATCTATAAAGGTCTTGACAAGGAGCACAGGACTGTTCTCTCCTATAAAGGCCAAGGCAAGGCTGTCAGTAATCTATAAAGGTCTTGACAAGGAGCACAGGACTGTTCTCTCCTATAAAGGTCAAGGCAAGGCTGTCAGTAATCTATAAAGGTCTTGACAAGGAGCACAGGACTGTTCTCTCCTATAAAGGTCAAGGCAAGGCTGTCAGTAATCTATAAAGGTCTTGACAAGGAGCACAGGACTGTTCTCTCCTATGAAGGTTTGACACAAGGGTCCCAGTTCTTATCTATGAAGATCTAGACAAGGGTTACAGGTCTATGTTCTTATCCATGAATGTCAAGCTAAGGCTATAAGTTCTTACCCAAAGTACATGGGTCTGAGTTCTCAAGTCGTGAAACGGGTCTAGGTTCTCATGTTTTGGCGAAGTATTTAAGTTCTCACCTATGAAGGTCTGGCCGAGGGGCACAGGTCTGAACCTTCCATCGAAGAAGAAGAGTCCAAGGTAGGGGTTAACATTGAGGAACCTGGCCACGTCGATGTAGTTGGGCAGTGTTGCCGACAGTCCCACGATACGGATCATACTCTGTGTACTCTCCACCTGAGTACAGCGCATGGTCCATATCACAATTAGTAACATGGCAACATAACAAAATAGAGTGAGTGAGTGAGTGAGTTTAGTTTTATGCTGCTTATAGCAATATTCCAGCAATATCACGGCAGCAGACACCAGAATTCGGATTCACATAATGTACCCATGTGGAGAATCAACCCTGAGTCTTCAGCATGACGAGCGAACGCTTTAACCACTAGGCTACCTCCACCGCCCGGAAAGAGAGAGGGAGAGGCATTACACAGAATATCATATATACATTATATATATCGCAACATTTGATTCCGATTAGCTAGTGTCAATGTACATCAATCAAAATGTTCCCTCAATGTGACACACCTGTCGGATGGTCCTGGCCACTAGACTCTCGATGACTGGACCACGGTCGTCGTGAAGCAGGTGAACCTCGTCAATGATGAGCAGCTTCACAAGCTGAGCCAGGGCCACATCACCTGTACTCTTCCTTGTCACCACATCCCACTTTTCTGGGGTCGTCACCAGCATCTGCCAGATATACTCCACGTTACAATAACCTGGCACTAGGAACATGAATCTGTAGAGCATGCAGACCCTGTGAAGTCTGATGGTCAATGAAATAACATTATGTCAAAGGTAAAATTGTTAAACATAGTAACTAGAAACTGAAATCAAGAAGTAACTTCGAAGAATAAAAGTCATTACCAAACAATCAATGTTTCTTCAGTCCTATTCGGGAATATGATTAAGGCACGGCTATGTGTCCCTCAACTAATCTGTGACTTTTATTCATCAATTAACCTAACACTAATCTGTCATCACCACTAGCCGTGATGCCTGCTAACCAGTGACACCTACTTTCCTGTGATCCCTGCTAACCAGTGACACCTACTTTCCTGTGATCCCTGCTAACCCGTGACTGCCACTAGTCTGTGACCCCTGCTAACCTGTGACCGCTACTAGTCTGTGACCCCTGCTAACCTGTGATCCTACTAGTCTGTGACCCCTGCTAACCTGTGACACCCTACTTCACCCATGACCCTGGTGCTAACCTGTGACACCTACTAACCTGTGACCCCTACTAGCCCGTGACCCCTGCTAACCTGTGACACCTACTAGCCCATGACCCCTGCTAACCTGTGACACCTACTAGCCCATGACCCCTGCTAACCTGTGACACCTACTAGCCCATGACCCCTGCTAACCTGTGACACCTACTAGCCCATGACCCCTGCTAACCTGTGACACCTACTAGCCCATGACCCCTGCTAACCCGTGACATCTACTTGCCTGTGATCCTGGCTTACCCGTGACCCCAGCTAACCTGTGACCCCTACTTACCTGTGACCCTGGTTAACTTGTGACCCTGCCATCCCGTGACCCCTACTTGTCTGTGATCCCTGCTAACCTGTGACCCCAGCTAACCTGTGACCCTACTAGTCTGTGACCCCTACTAGCCTGTGACCCCTGCTAACCTGTGACCCTGGCTAACCTGTGACCCGGCTAACCTGTGACCCGGGCTAACGTGTGACCCCTACTTGTCTGTGATCCCTGCTAACCTGTGACCCCAGCTTACCTGTGTTTTCAGGATCTCGGCCTTTGTGAGGGACATGTCCCCTGTCAGTTCCCGTACTGTGATGCCTAGTGGCTCCAGGCGGCCACCAAAGTTTCGCACCATCTCTGCTGCCAGAGCTTTCATTGGAGCGACATACACAATCTACAAGCATGTTTGGATAGTCACAGCTCACAACATAATTGCAGATCACAACACAAATTCAAATGCAAAAATATAAGATAAGTTAACTAATGAAAACAAGGCAACCTTCAAACAATTGCAGTCTGACCCGGCCATCACCATCGCCCCTGGAGACAAGGGAAGAGCCACCGTCATCATGGACACCACCGACTTCACCAACCTAACTGACAACATCCTGAACAACCCTGCCACCTACAAACAGTTGAAGATCAATTCCACCGTGGAGACTCTTACATAGGTGAAACGTCCCGGCCTCTCCCACTACCAATTAAAGAACACAAAACTTCAGTCCAGAAAAAAAGACTCCAAATCCACCATAGCTGACCACACCCACGCCAATCCTGACCATGCTATCCTTTGGGACAACATCCACATCCTGGAAACCAACCGAGCAGACTACAAGATTAGGAAACTTCTTGAAGCCATAAAGATCCAATGCTTCAATCCCACCAGGAACCGGGATCGAGGTTATTTTATCTCCTTGGCCTATCACTCTTTTGTGTATTGTAATCACAACTAATCATGTGTACATCAACCTACTCTCTCCAACTCACTATTACCATCTCAGTGTACATCAACTCATCTATTGTATAAACCTATTCTGCATATTGTTTTAATCACTATCACTCTGTACATCAACCTACTCTCTCCAACTCACATTACCATCTCAGTGTACATCAACTCATCTGTTGTATAAACCCATTCTGCATATTGTTTTAATCACTATCACTCTGTACATCAACCTACTCTCAACTCACATTACCATTTCAGTGTACATCAACTCATCTATTGTATAAACTCATTCTACATATTGTTTTAATCACTATCACTGTGTACATCAACCTACTCTGCTCAAATCACTAATTAGCAATCCAGTGTATATCAACCATGTCAATTGTATATACACACTATGCAGCCATGTATTGTATCACTTGCTTGATAACGGTGTTAGTACCTACACCGAAACGTAGCACTCATTGCAATAAAGACGTTGACTATCCATAGAACTTGGTTTTCCTTCATCTATACAACTTCTAAATACCTCTCAAAGGAGTTACCTTGAACTCATCTTTCTTGATGACGCCCTGAGACAGGTGCAGATTCAGCTCATGCAGGATGGTTAACATGGCAATGTTGGTTTTACCGGCGCCAGTTGGGGCACAGATCAGCAGGTTTTCATTGGTCTTGAAGGCAGCTTCGAACACCACAGATTGGATGCGGTTCAAGTTCTTCATTCCCCGGAATGCCAGCTGTCCAATCTTTGGCAGAGCAAATACCAGCAAATCACATTTGTTTTCGACACAACAACATTGATGATCATGTGTACAAGATGTAGCTCAAGTTAGACAAATCATATAATTATATATTTCAAGTAACACCCAGTTTTATATCCTGCAATATGTCCAGAGTTACATCAAGTTATATATCATGCAATATATCCAGTTACATCTAGCTATATATCCTGCAATATATCCAGTTACATCTAGTTATATATCCTGCAATATATCCAGTTACATCTAGTTATATATCCTGCAATATATCCAGTTACATCTAGTTATACATCCTGCAATATATCCAGTTACATCTAGTTATATATCCTGCAATATATCCAGTTACATCTAGTTATATATCCTGCAATACATTCAGTTACATCTAGTTATATATCATGCAATATATCCAGTTACATCTAGTTATATATCCTGCAATATATCCAGCTACATCTAGTTATATATCCTCCAATATATCCAGTTACATCTAGTTATATATCCTGCAATATATCCAGTTACATCTAGTTATATATCCTGCAATATATCCAGTTACATCTAGTTATATATCCTGCAATATATTCAGTTACATCTAGTTATATATCCTGCAATATATCCAGTTACATCTAGTTATATATCCTGCAATATATCCAGTTACATCTAGTTATATATCCTGCAATATATCCAGTTACATCTAGTTATATATCCTCCAATATACATGTATCCAGTTACATCTAGCTATATATCCTGCAATATATCCAGTTACATCTAGTTATATATCCTGCAATATATCCAGCTACATCTAGCTATATATCCTCCAATATACATGTATCCAGTTACATCTAGCTATGTACCCTGCAATATATCCAGTTACATCTAGTTATACATCCTGCAATATATCCAGTTACATCTAGTTATATATCCTGCAATTTATCCAGTTACATCTAGTTATATATCCTCCAATATATCCAGTTACATCTAGTTATATATCCTGCAATATATCCAGTGGCATCTAGTTATATATCCTGCAATATATCCAGTGACATCTAGTTATATATCCTGCAATATATCCAGTGACATCTAGTTATATATCCTGCAATATATCCAGTGACATCTAGTTATATATCCTGCAATATATCCAGCTACATCTAGCTATATATCCTCCAATATACATGTATCCAGTTACATCTAGTGATATATCCTGCAATACATTCAGTTACATCTAGTTATATATCCTGCAATACATTCAGTTACATCAATTATGTATCCTGCAATATATCCTGTTACATCTAGTATGTATCCTGCAATATATCGAGTTACATCTAGTATGTATCCTGCAATATATCCTGTAACATCTAGTATGTATCCTGCAATATATCCTGTAACATCTAGTATGTATCCTGCAATATATCCAGTGACATCTAGTATGTATCCTGCAATATATCCAGTTACATCTAGTATATATCCTGCAATATATCCAGTTACATCTAGTTATATATCCTGCAATATATCCAGCTACATCTAGCTATATATCCTCCAATATACATGTATCCAGTTACATCTAGTTATATATCCTGCAATATATCCAGTTACATCTAGTTATATATCCTGCAATATATCCAGTTACATCTAGTTATATATCCTGCAATATATCCAGCTACATCTAGCTATATATCCTCCAATATACATGTATCCAGTTACATCTAGTGATATATCCTGCAATACATTCAGTTACATCTAGTTATATATCCTGAAATACATTCAGTTACATCTAGTATGTATCCTGCAATATATCCTGTTATATCTAGTATGTATCCTGCAATATATCCAGTTACATCTAGTTATATATCCTGCAATATATCCAGTTACATCTAGTTATATATCCTGCAATACATTCAGTTACATCTAGTTATATATCCTGCAATACATTCAGTTACATCTAGTATGTATCCTGCAATATATCCTGTTATATCTAGTATGTATCCTGCAATATATCCAGTTACATCTAGCTATATATCCTGCAATATATCCAGTTACATCTAGTTATATATCCTGCAATATATCATCAGTTACATCTAGTTATATATCCTGCAATACATTCAGTTACATCTAGTTATATATCCTGCAATACATTCAGTTACATCTAGTTATATATCCTGCAATATATCCAGTTACATCTAGTTATATATCCTGCAATATATCCAGTTACATCTAGTTATATATCCTGCAATATATCCAGTTACATCTAGTATGTATCCTGCAATACATTCAGTTATTTATCCTGCCATGTATCTAGAGTTATATCCTGCAATACATTCATATTTATCCTGCCATGTACTATAATGAGTGATATATAAAAAGCTATATCCTGCAATATACCTGGTGCTATAATTAGTGATATTTTAATGTTAAAATGAGTAATATATCCCTTGTCACATCTAGTGATATACGGAAATATGTATACAGTAATGATGACATGTGTCTCACCTCATCCAGCTCGTTGACAGGTACAAGTCTCTGCCCCACATCTATGGGGGCGGATTCATTGGGGGGAACAGACACCTCCTCATAGTCCTTGTTGTCATTGCGGTTGAATCCTTGGGGCAGCACCATCTGTGGTAGCATGTAAAGAACTGTTTATTCACATTCTCCATGAGGGGAAATGAATAATAAAGACTGATGTGTTCAACACAAATGTCAGACAAACAAACACACTAAATACTAACAGTGAGTATTACCTCAACCTGAACAAGATAACAAGCAGTCTGGAGAGTCAGCCTCCATTTTCACCACAATAACCACAATAACAACCTGTTAGATTTCTGAATAAATGGCTTTATCTTCTGTATCACACTGTGTAGGTATGTTTGATATGAATATACATTGCTGGCATTGTACACAAGGCTTCATCACAGCGGCTGTAGCAGGATGCTGTGGCAGGATGTTGTGGTGTAGCTAGCGTCAGTCAGCTTAATGACTGAAGGGCTGGTACAATGTTGGGGGCTGGTACAATGTTGGGGGCTGGTACAATGTTGGGGGCTGGTACAATGTTGGGGGCTGGTACAGAGTGTGGCTCGCGATTCTGGATGGAACAACACTGCACCCTCAAAAAGAGAAAAAAATGCACTAAAAATCAGTACTTTACTGATAACATATATATACCTAAAATAACATATGTTGCAGTTTCTAGGATGCGAACTGTATGAGGCCTAGTGGGAAAAAATCTTGCAGCTGCCATTCTGGGCTCAGGAATTGAGACAAAACTCTTTCAAACAGTGAGCGTACAATCAGTTCAAGGTGCTCAAAACATACTGGACCTGTTTTAACTCAACAATTTGGTGTGGTCATTTGCTGATTCACAATTAGTTCTGCATGAAATAATTTCTTGCATAAACCTTGCATGTCAATCTGAAAACAATTTCTATAGTTTAATTATAATTAAAATTGATATTGTTCCCTTTAGACTCAAGGAAGATACAATACTCCTGTTACAAATCTAATTATGCCACTGACAATCTAATAAAGGAACTCCAAACCCTGCACAACACCATCTGACATTTAGCTCCTGCACAGTACCATCTGACATTCAGCTCCTACACAATACCATCTGACATTCAGCTCCTACACAACACCATCTGACATTCAGCTCCTACACAACACCATCTGACATTCAGCTCCTACACAATACCATCTGACATTCAGCTCCTACACAACACCATCCGACATTCAGCTCCTACACAATACCATCTGACATTCAGCTCCTACACAACACCATCTGACATTCAGCACCTGCACAACACCCTCTGACATTCAGCTCCTGCACAATACCATCTGACATTCAGCTCCTACACAACACCATCTGACATTCAGCACCTGCACAATACCATCTGACATTCAGCTCCTGCACAATACCATCTGACATTCAGCACCTGCACAATACCATCTGACATTCAGCTCCTGCACAAGGGACTGGACAGGAAACTCACCTTGTTCCCTCCAACATATGCTGACGACTGTCTTGCCTCCTCATAAGAGTCAAACACAAATGGGTATCTCTCTCGCTGGTAGGACTTGCTGCTGCCTGTGAACAGCGGACGGTTGGAGGCCACCTGCAGCGCCGCCTCCCTGCAAACACACAGTTGCCATGGTTACACTTCATGGAATGTACTTGCTGGATTTAAGGCAGCTACCTTAAAACATGTTTCACCTGAAACAACCTACTCCATCTGGTGATATAGAAATACCATGGATCAACAGTTTTATAGAGACAGTTAAGTTGACAGTGAAGGATGACCAGACATTTCCTGAAGCTGAATTGACACAAAACAGAAATGCTCATTCTCTATTTAAGTTCAACACGACAAAGGTTGTCTTTAATAACACTTGAAATTGATGAAGCTGAACCCACTGATCATGCTCGCAATCTTGGGGTGATATTTGACAGCACTATTAGCCTTGAAAAGCATGTCAATAAAATGTGCAAAAATGCCTACTATTTCATCCGCAACATAGGCTAAATCAGGAAGTACATCAACCAGCAAACTGCTGCAACATTGATGCAAGCATATGTAGTATCTCCGTTAGACTATTGCAATGCTCTGCTGTAGGGGATTCCAGAATATCTTCTGAGCAAGTTACAGAGAGTCCAGAACTCAGCTGCCCGAGTTGTGACCCTCACAAAGAAGACAGAGCATATAACACCTGTTCTGATGACACTGCACTGGTTACCCATCCGACAACATATCCATTACAAAATATTGGTACTGATGTTCAAAGCCTTGCACAAAATGGCACCAGTTTATCTCTCAGACCTTGTGCAAGAATATAAACCAGCACACATCACCTGAGGTCATCACAACACCACATGTGCCAGACTGTAGTCAAATGGACCAAGACATTTGGTGAAAGGTCTTTTCAGGTTGTCGGCCCAGCTTTGTGGAACACCCCTCTCTCTTCGATCAGTAGAGACATTCAGTACTTTCAAATCCAGATTAAAAACTCATTTGTTCAGCATTGAAGACAGAGTTCAGCAGCGCTCTTGAGCAGTCTTCTTAAGACTGGATATTAGCTTATATAAATGTATATAAATGTAATGTAATGTAATGAAGGTACTCCACCTCCCTCACACACACCTTTAGAGGGTTGGAAGGTACTCACCTGCTGGGCACACACCTGTAGGGGTTGAAGGTACTCACCTCATCGGGCACACGACTCTGTAGGGGTTGAAGTTTCTCACCACCACTGGGCACACACCTCTAGGGGTTGAAGGTACTCACCTCTGGGCACACACCTGTAGGGGTTGAAGGTACTCACCTCTGGGCACACACACCTCTAGGGGTTGAAGGTACTCACCTCTGGGCAAACACATCTAGGGGGTTGAAGGTACTCACCTCTGGGCACACTTTCAAAGGGATTCAAGTTACACATTTCAGGGCACCCATTTCCTGGGGACTGGAGGCACTCACCTCTGGGCACGCATCTCTATAGGGTTGAAGGCTTTCTTCCCCTCTTCCTCCACTTTCTTCCCGTCCCGCTTGGACAGTTTCTTCTCCTCCCTACGTATCTGCTTCATCAGCTGCTTCTCTTCCTCTGACTGGGGGAAGATGAGAATGAGCTAGTGAGTGAATGCTCTACAGGTCCCAGTCAGCTACAGACAAAGTACTGTATTGCAATCAAGCACAACTCTCAAGCACCAGCAGTATCCTCTAAAGACTGCCCATTCAGACATGAATCTGCTTTGTAATCTAACCAGGTTGCCCATCCAACACAAATATCCATGACTTTCTAATATGTATTGTTTCTTTCGAACAGACTCTCTTACCTAGCAACAGCCTCCATCTCCCTGACATGACAAACTGTATTTTTACCTAGCAACAGCCTCCCTCATGCAGACAAGTAGAACTGTATAGTTACTTAGCAACAACCTCCCTCAGGCAGATAAGTAGAACTGTATAGTTACCTAGCAACACCCTCCCTCAGGCAGACAAGTAGAACTGTATAGTTACCTAGCAACAACCTCCCTCAGGCAGACAAGTAGAACTATATAGTTACCTAGCAACTACCTCCCTCAGGCAGACAAGTAGAGACTGTATGGTTACTCTAGCAACAACCTCCCTCGGGCAGACAGAGTAGAACTGTATAGTTACCTAGCAACAACCTCCCTCAGGCAGACAGAGTAGAACTGTATAGTTGCCTGGCAACAACCTCCCTCAGGCAGACAAGTAGAACTGTATGGTTACCTTTGCAACAACCTCCCTCAGGCAGACAAAGTAGAACTGTATAGTTACCTTGCAACTACCTCCCTCCAGGCAGACAAGTAGAACTGTATAGTTACTCTGTAACAACCTCCCTCAGGCAGACAAGTAGAGACTGTATGGTTACCTTAGCAACAACCTCCCTCAGGCAGACAGAGTAGAACTGTATGGTTACCTGGCAACAACCTCCTCCAGGCAGACAAGTAGAACTGTATTGCTATCTAGGAACAACCTCCCTCAGGCAGACAAGTCTGGAACTGTATAGTTACCTAGCAACAACCTCCCTCAGGCAGACAAGTAGAACTGTATTGCTATCTAGCAACAACCTCCTCAGGGCAGACAAGTAGAACTGTATAGTTACCTAGCAACAACCTCCCCTCAGGCAGACAAGTAGAACTGTATAGTTACCTAGCAACAACCTCCCTCAGGCAGACAAGTAGAACTGTATAGTTACCCTAGCAACAACCTCCCTCAGGCAGACAAGTAGAACTGTATAGTTACCTAGCAACAACCTCCCTCAGGCAGACAAGTAGAACTGTATTGTTACCTAGCAACAACCTCCCTCAGGCAGACAAGTAGAACTGTATAGTTACCTTGCAACAACCTCCCTCAGGCAGACAAGTAGAACTGTATAGTTACCTAGCAACAGCCTCCCTCAGGCAGACAAGTAGAACTGTATAGTTACTCTAGCAACAACCTCCCTCCCTCAGGCAGACAAGTAGAACTGTATTGTTACCTAGCAACAACCTCCCTCAGGCAGACAAGTAGAACTGTATAGTTACCTTGCAACAACCTCCCTCAGGCAGACAAGTAGAACTGTATTGTTACCTAGCAACAACCTCTCTCCTCAGGCAGACAAGTAGAACTGTATAGTTACCTAGCAACAACCTCCCTCAGGCAGACAAGTAGAACTGTATAGTTACCTAGCAACAACCTCCCTCAGGCAGACAAGTAGAACTGTATAGTTACCTAGCAACAACCTCCCTCAGGCAGACAAGTAGAACTGTATAGTTACCTAGCAACAACCTCCCTCAGGCAGACAAGTAGAACTGTATTGCTATCTAGGAACAACCTCCCTCAGGCAGACAAGTAGAACTGTATAGTTACCTAGCAACAACCTCCCTCAGGCAGACAAGTAGAACTGTATAGTTACCTAGCAACAACCTCCCTCAGGCAGACAAGTAGAACTGTATAGTTACCTAGCAACAACCTCCCTCAGGCAGACAAGTAGAACTGTATAGTTACCTAGCAACAACCTCCCTCAGGCAGACAAGTAGAACTGTATAGTTACCTAGCAACAACCTCCCCTCAGGCAGACAAATAGAACTGTATAGTTACCTAGCAACAACCTCCCTCAGGCAGACAAGTAGAAACTGTATAGTTACCTTAGCAACAACCTCCCTCAGGCAGACAAGTAGAACTGTATAGTTACCTAGCAACAACCTCCCTCAGGCAGACAAGTAGAACTGTATAGTTACCTAGCAACAACCTCCCTCAGGCAGACAAGTAGAACTGTATAGTTACCTAGCAACAACCTCCCTCAGGCAGACAAGTAGAACTGTATAGTTACCTTGCAACAACCTCCCTCAGGCAGACAAGTAGAACTGTATAGTTACCTTGCAACAACCTCCCTCAGGCAGACAAGTAGAACTGTATAGTTACCTAGCAACAACCTCCCTCAGGCAGACAAGTAGAACTGTATAGTTACCTAGCAACAACCTCCCTCAGGCAGACAAGTAGAACTGTATTATTGTTACCTAGCAACAACCTCCCTCAGGCAGACAAGTAGAACTGTATTGTTACCTAGCAACAACCTCCCTCAGGCAGACAAGTAGAACTGTATAGTTACTGTAGCAACAACCTCCCTCAGGCAGACAAGTAGAACTGTATAGTTACCTAGCAACAACCTCCCTCAGGCAGACAAGTAGAACTGTATAGTTACCTAGCAAACAACCTCCCTCAGGCAGACAAGTAGAACTGTATAGTTACCCTAGCAACAACCTCCCTCAGGCAGAGACAAGTAGAACTGTATAGTTACACCTAGCAACAACCTCCCTCAGGCAGACAAGTAGAACTGTATAGTTACCTAGCAACAACCTCCCTCAGGCAGACAAGTAGAACTGTATAGTTACCTAGCAACAACCTCCCTCAGGCAGACAAGTAGAACTGTATAGTTACCTAGCAACAACCTCCCTCAGGCAGACAAGTAGAACTGTATTGTTACTAGCAACAACCTCCCTCAGGCAGACAAGTAGAACTGTATAGTTACTCTAGCAACAACCTCCCCTCAGGCAGACAAGTAGAACTGTATAGTTACCTAGCAACAACCTCCCTCAGGCAGACAAGTAGAACTGTATTGTTACCTAGCAACAACCTCCTCCCTCAGGCAGACAAGTAGAACTGTATAGTTACCTTAGGAACAACCTCCCTCAGGCAGACAAGTAGAACTGTATAGTTACCTAGCAACAACCTCCCTCAGGCAGACAAGTAGAACTGTATTGTTACCTAGCAACAACCCCCTCAGGCAGACAAGTAGAACTGTATTGTTACTCTAGCAACAGCCTCCCTCAGGGCAGACAAGTAGAACTGTATAGTTACGCAGGGCAACAACCTCCCTCAGGCAGACAAGTAGAACTGTATAGTTACCTAGCAACAACCTCCCTCAGGCAGACAAGTAGAACTGTATAGTTACCTAGCAACAACCTCCCTCAGGCAGATAAGTAGAACTTTATAGTTGCCTTGCAACAACCTTCCTCAGGCAGACAAGTAGAACTGTATAGTTACCTTGCAACAACCTCCCTCAGGCAGACAAGTAGAACTGTATAGTTACCTAGCAACAACCTCCCTCAGGCAGACAAGTAGAACTGTATAGTTACCTTGCAACAACCTCCCTCAGGCAGACAAGTAGAACTGTATAGTTACCTTGCAACAACCTCCCTCAGGCACACAAGTAGAACTGTATAGTTACCTAGCAACAACCTCCCTCAGGCAGACAGACAAGTAGAACTGTATTGTTACATAGCAACAACCTCCCTCAGGCAGACAAGTAGAACTGTATAGTTACCTAGCAACAACCTCCCTCAGGGCAGACAAGTAGAACTATATAGTTACCCTAGCAACAACCTCCCTCCAGACAAGTGAGACTGTGTTGTAACCTAGCAACAACCTCCTCCCTCAGGCAGACAAGTAGAACTGTATAGTTACCCTAGCAACAACCCTCCCTCAGGCAGACAAGTAGAACTGTATAGTTACCTAGCAACAACCTCCCTCAGGCAGACAAGAGTAGAACTGTATAGTTACCTAGCAACAACCTCCCTCAGGCAGACAAGTAGAACTATATAGTTACCTAGCAACAACCTCCCTCAGGCAGACAAGTAGAACTGTATTGTTACCTAGCAACAACCTCCCTCAGGCAGACAAGTAGAACTGTATAGTTACCTAGCAACAACCTCCCTCAGGCAGACAAGTAGAACTGTATAGTTACCTAGCAACAACCTCCCTCAGGCAGACAAGTAGAACTGTATTGTTACCTAGCAACAACCTCCCTCAGGCAGAGACAAGTAGAGACTGTATAGTTACCTACAAGCAACTACCTCCCCTGACAGGCAGACAAGTTGGAACTGTATTGTTACCTAGCAACAACCTCCCCCTCAGGCAGACAAGTTGAACTGTATTGTTACCTAGCAACAACCTCCCTCAGGCAGACAAGTAGAACTGTATTGTTACCTAGCAACAACCTCCCTCAGGCAGACAAGTAGAACTGTATAGTTACCTAGCAACAACCTCCCTCAGGCAGACAAGTAGAACCGTATATTTACCTGCAACCTTGCATATCCCTATCCCCACGAACATGCCTACCTGTATTGTAACCTGGCAACCATAGGTTGGTCTTTCCACTTCTTTCTTTCCTGAAAGTATAATTTTAACACATGTAACACATTATATTATCACACTAGAGGAAACCTTAGACATGCTAACTAGTGTTCAGTGTGGACCTCAGACATTGTTTCAGCGTAAGCAGGAGTTGTCACAAGATTTGAGCTGGTAAACACAATGAAGTCGGGTTGGAGGGTCTTCAATACAAACTCTGACAGTCACTTGTTAATGAGAACCTGGTCACTGTGACCTACATACAGAAAAACCATCCGGCAGGAGTCTAGACCCTGTTAATGGATACATGTCACTGTGACCTACATACACAACCATCCGGCAGAAGTCTAGACCCTGTTAATGGATACATGTCACTGTGACCTACATACACAACCATCCGGCAGGAGTCTAGACCCTGTTAATGGATACATGTCACTGTGACACTGCATACACAACCATCCCGCAGGAGTCTAGACCCTGTTAATGGATACATGTCACTGTGACCTACATACACAACCATCCCGCAGGAGTGTAGACCCTGTTAAAGGATACATATCACTGTGACTTACGCTGGGCCTGTACTTGTGCTATAGCTGCTCTGTTAGTGTCAGCAACAAGGGTCTTCATCAGGCGACTCCTGTTCGACAGCAGGCTTTGAATCATCTCAAAACGGTCAAAACCAAGAAGCTCAAATAGCTGAAACAAACCAAAGTGTGACATTACTGACAACAGATAAATATGTTACTATTGCCTCCAGGTTCTTGTGGAGTGTTTGTAACATATTCTACATGCTGACACCCACCACTTGACATGTTCCTACTGTAGCCAGGACCAAAGTCATGTAAACCTTTCTCTCCCTGAATAAGTTCATGTCATATTTCAGCCTATTCAAGTTTTAACACAAACCTCATTCTGTAACTCCTCGTCCGTCTTGGTGGAACAAAGAACCTCGAAGATGGTGGTGGAGAGGTCCTCTAGACTAAGCCCAATGTCCGTTTCCCCAGAGGAGGAGAAGTACTTCCTCACTTCCTCCAGCAGCCATGATGAGTCGCACCTGTCCTCCAGTCTCGCAGCTCCGCCGTCTGGTACCTTCTTTCCTAACACTGGCTTCGCATTATATTTCAAATCCACATTTTTCTCTTCCACTTCATCTTCAGATTCTGAGCTTGGATAACTCTTTCTTCTCGATCTAACGTTGAGTTAAGAATTTGATATTTTTCCTAATTTTGGATAATGGCTGCCCGTCTGCTTCCTCTCGACCGGTGGAAATCGCTCCTCCAGGAGGACGCCTCCTGGCAACCACGACACGATCCGTGGAGACCAGCTCACATGCTTTGGTTGCTGCGGTGGCTGGGAATGGGCCAAAGATGCTTCTCAGTGTTGTGGTCTCTCTCTGACCAACACTCTCCGCAAACTTGAAAATTTCAAACAGGTAAGCTGCAGCCCCCTCCACGATGTCGGAGGATGCTTCATTACCGACTGGAAACAGACAGAAATGTCAGGGTGTCAGTTTGGTGCTTGGGATATGACCCATGGAACAGTAAGTGGTTTGATATTGTATCCCACTGCTAACAAGATTTCAACAATGATTTATCTGGGAATCAAACCTACAAATTGGGCATGTGCAATAATGGGCAGCTGACAGTATCACAGGTTGGTTGTCAGCAACAACGACTGGTCAAAGATATACTTCCCTTCACTGGGAACAAGGACTGGTCTAAGATATACTTCCCTTCACTGGGAACAAGGACTGGTCTAAGATATACTTCCCTTCACTGGGAACAAGGACTGGTCTAAGATATACTTCCCTTCACTGGGAACAAGGACTGGTCTAAGATATACTTCCCTTCACTGGGAACAAGGACTGGTCTAAGATATACTTCCCTTCACTGGGAACAAGGACTGGTCTAAGATATACTTCCTTCACTGGGAACAAGGACTGGTCTAAGATATACTTCCCTTCACTGGGAACAAGGACTGGTCTAAGATATACTTCCCTTCACTGGGAACAAGGACTGGTCTAAGATATACTTCCCTTCACTGGGAACAAGGACTGGTCTAAGATATACTTCGCTTCACTGGGAACAAGGACTGGTCTAAGATATACTTCCCTTCACTGGGAACAAGGACTGGTCTAAGATATACTTCCCTTCACTGGGAAGTGGCAAACTGAACAAGTGGCAAATATATTCTACTTCAGCTAGAATAGAATTAACACCATGAACACAATTGACACCAGTTAATTGTCCGGCATGAAACCAGCCACATATTCAATAGCTTTCTCAGTTACTCACCAATAGATCTAGCGCAGGCAATCAGTTGTTTGAGGACAGGAGATGACTCTTTAGTTTCTACATCTCCACGCTTCTCCAGTAGAGTCACCACATCTTGCCAGGAGTGACCTCCCTTGTTTTCTTTCTCTGCTGACAGCAGCCTCCGCTGTGCCAGGTCATCATTACCTCTCGCCCCCGGAACCTCACTGGCCGAAACACTGGTGAACACTCGAAGAGCGCCAGTAAGGCGAGGCAAGCTCACCATATCAGTCAAAGTGGACTATCTGAAATATTACCCATGATGATACTATAGATGAAACAGTGCTTTGGGTGAGGCCTATTACGGTTCCATACACACCTTCAAACAAATATATCCAATACAGCCCATGCAAGTATTTCATAGATTCATAGTTATCTACACTACTGCAGTGTCAGGGAGAGAATCTCAAGGTGCAATTTTAGCATATTTCTTCATGATAAACAAATGATAAATTTACAACAACAAAATTCTGTTATAGTTATAGGTTATAAGAGAAGGACCTACATGTCTCCTCAACATTATGTTGTCTACATGACTGACTGACTGAGTTTGGTTTAACGCCACTTTTAGCAATATTCCAGCAACATCACGGCGGGGACACCAGAAATGGGCTTCACACATTGTGCCCATGTGGGGATTCGAACCCGGGTCTTCGGCGTGACGAGCCATTAGACGCTTTAACCATTAGGCTTCCCCACCGCGCATGTCTACATGTCAGGTATTTACTGAGTATATGGTCATGCATAGCAACATAACTATTTTTCATATGCGAAAGCATTATTACTTGTTTATAGATAGACTGTACCTACTTAACTGATTATAAATGCTGACCAAGACAGTCAGGCAATAATGCCATATACTCTTTCATTTTGTATTAGAATATACCTGTGTTTTTGATCTGTGTGCATTGTTACATATCTGTTAAAATGTAGAATTGACTGTCAGTGTTTTTGACTTTTATACCATCCCTGAATAAATCCACTGTTATTGACAACACTGTAACATCTGTTGTCTGCAGGTAAGAGGTCACTGTGGATGTTTCAAAGGAAGAATGAGTAAATGAGTGAAAGCCTGTATATACTATATGTATTCATTATACTGGTATGTGATGTCTTCAAGGACAACATTCAGTGATACCCTGACAGGAAAGTGTCCACAATAAAAGGCCTCTAAGACCTTGTCTGCAAACTTCAATTGTTTTCAGTCACCTGACTAGCCTATATTCTGTGAATAAACAGCCCTGACTGGTGCAAAGTTATCAATACAATTTTTGCAGACTGGCATTAAAAGTTCTAAGTTTATTTAAAGTTTGAAGCCTCTTTACAAAATATTTAATATAAGTGTTTGTCAAATAATAACATATTGTCCAGTGTTTTACAGATGCATTTACCTCAGCCTATTTTCCCACTGTGTATAAATCATGACACATGCACCAAGATTCTGACATCACACAGTTGGTGAAGGTGTTCAGTACTTCCAAACAACCTCATGGGACAGGTAAGATGTATGCATGGTGAAGTGTTTTGATGACATGACATCTCTGTTTATATTGGGATATGGCTGAGTTAAAACAGGTGTCGTTCGAAGCTAGTTCGGAGACGATATATGTTGTACGGTCCCTGGTCATGTCGTGACTGTCGCAACCCACCACCAGGCACCACAGGTGATGTGTCAAAATCTTATTTACTTGTTATAATGGCAGTGCTCTAATTACAGAGAAGTATACGAGCAGTGAATGACCAAATCAATTCTTATAAATAGCATGTTTAATTCATCTTCACCCAATGTTGGGCACCACCCTGAAACCGACATACAAAATCACTCACATGGGGTGGCATATGCGAAATCGAAATCAATGAGATGAAATAAATAATTAACGTGTATAGCAAACACAATGTTTTATAAAAGTCTCAGCAAAACGGGCCATTACCTGAGTCAGCATATGTCTTAAGTAGGTGACGATGAGTTAATCCAATGCTTTAAGGATTGACAGTAGATAAGAGGTATAAAACTTTCTTTCGTATCGTTTTGCAACAGATGCAAGAATTGCGAGTTATCCGCCTCTTACCTTCAGCTTCAATCATTCAGCATAGGTCGGATATAGGCAGGACAGAAGGTTCTGAATGCCACAAGTTAGTTCCTTGCATTGCAAAGTTCACGTCAAAGTATGTTGTGCACACGTGTAAGATTTTAAATGGACTCACAGGTTCCCTGAAATATTAAATGAATCAGATATCGAGCTGAGTGGTTGTAATTCTACGAAGACATCAATATGTTGCTATAATAATATAGAAACACGATATTATCAGCATGCTATTTAGACAACCCGTGGAAGGATTTTATTGTGATTCATTCAGTCATTGGTCTGGTTAGAGACGATAGTGATACAGCATTCACAGTCTGTTCATCTGGAGAAAGGCACATTCTCTGGTACACTTTATGGAAACGTTACGCCACATCGGAAATATATATTCCGCAGTAATATTTCGAAATGAAGTTTGTGTATTACTATTATTGTCATCAACAGACAATGGTGAAATACACGACCTGTTAAACAGTGGTGAGGTCGACCTCCACTCATCTACCAACACACAGGGCCTATGTTGTGTTTTACTGACGGGAACACCCAGGGCCTATGTTGTGTTTTACTGACGGGAACACACAGGGCCTATGTTGCGTTTTCCTGACGGGGACACCCAGGGCCTATGTTGTGTTTTACGAACGTGAACACCCATGCAGGGCCTATGTTGCGTTTTACTGACGGGAACACACAGGGCCTATCTTGTGTTCTACTGACGGGAACACACAGGGCCTATGTTGTGTTTTACTGACGGGAACACACAGGGCCTATGTTGTGTTTTACTGACGGGAACACACAGGGCCTATGATTTGTTTTACTGACGGGAACACCCAGGGCCTATGATGTGTTACAAGTACTAACGGGAATACCCAGGGTCTGTGTTGAGTTTTACTGGCGGGAACGCCCATGGCCTATGTTGTGTTTACTGATGTCACACACGGGCACACCCAGGGCCTATGTTGTGTTTTACTGACGGGAACACACAGTGCCTATCTTGTGCTCTACTGACGGGAACACACAGGGCCTATGTTGTGTTTACTGGCCGGAACACCCAGTGCCTATGTTGTGTTTTACTGTGACAGGTACACCCAGTGCCTATGTTGTGTTTTGCTGGCTGACGGAACACACAGTGCCTATCTTGTGCTCTACTGTGTCAGAACACACAGGGCCTATGTTGTGTTTTACTGGCGGGAACACCCAGTGCCTATGTTGTGTTTTACTGGCGGGGAACACCCAGTGCCTATGTTGTGTTTTACTGACGGGAACACACAGTGCCTATCTTGTGCTCTACTGACGGGAACACACAGGGCCTATGTTGTGTTTTACTGGCGGGGAACACCCAGTGCCTATGATTTGTTTTACTGACGGGAACACACAGGGCCTATGTTGTGTTTTACTGACGGGAACACCCAGTGCCTATGTTGTGTTTTACTGACGGGAACACCCAGTGCCTATGTTGTGTTTTACTGACGGGAACACCCAGTGCCTATGTTGTGTTTTACTGACGGGAACACCCAGTGCCTATGTTGTGTTTTACTGACGGGAACACCCAGTGCCTATGTTGTGTTTTACTGACGGAAGAACCCAGGTTTTACTCCTGTTTTGCCAATTTTGTGCTGTCAGAATATCGTGATGTCGGAGGTTGCGTGTAATGGCAAACTTGGATTTCTTCTGACCCTAACCGATTAGTTACAGTTTTTGACCGGGAAATAGAAGTGATACACCTAAAGTCGAGAATTTATAGATGTCAACTTCTCTTGTACAGGCTGGTAAAGCGTGAATACAGACGACCGCTGTGTTCAACAACAAAACAACCCAAAATTCATACTGTTCAACAACAAAACAACCGAAACCACGGGATGAACGTGATGGTCACCATCTTTCGGAGTCATACATACGTGTTCTTGTCTCTGTCCCACTTCAGTCACTACTTCAAACTTTTGACACATCTTTGAGGATTCTAAATTAATAAGGCCTGCTATTCAGTTCAACATAATGACTCCCGTCACAGCTTACAGTGGTTCCTCTATAACTCAGTATCAACATAATAACTCCAACAAGTTTCTGGAGTCCCGTCACAGCATACAGTGGTTCCTCTATACCTTAGTATCTACAGAATGCCTCTAACAAGTTTCTAGTGTCCCGTCACAGCTTACACTGGTTCCTCTATACCTTAGTATCAACATAATGCCTCTAACAAGTTTCTAGTGTCCCGTCACAGCTTACAGTGGTTCCTTTATACCCCAGGATCGACATAATGCCTCTAACAAGTTTCTAGTGTCCCGTCACAGCTTACACTGGTTCCTCTATACCCCAGGATCGACATAATGCCTCTAACAAGTTTCTAGTGTCCCGTCACAGCTTACACTGCTCCTCTATACCTTAGTATCAACATAATGACTCCAACAAGCTTCTGGAGTCCCGTCACAGCTTACACTGGCTCCTTTATACCCCAGGATCGACATAATGCCTCTAACAAGTTTCTAGTGTCCCGTCACAGCTTACACTGGTTCCTCTATGCCTCAGTATTGCCATAGTGACTCCAACAAGTTTCTAGTGTCCCGTCAGAGCTTTCACTGCTCCTCTATACCTTAGTATCAACATAATGACTCCAACAAGTTTCTAGTGTCCCGTCACAGCTTACAGTGGTTCCTCTATACCTTAGTATCGACAGAATGCCTCTAACAAGTTTCTAGTGTCCCGTCACAGCTTACAGTGGTTCCTCTATACCTTAGTACCAACATAATGGACCCGTGAAGATCCGGGGTAGAATAGGTCTTCAGCAACCCATGTGCTTGCCATAAAAAGGCGACTATCTTGTCGTAAGAGGCGACTAACGGGATCGGGTGGTCAGTTTCGCTGACTTGGTTGACACATGTCATCGGTTCCCAATTGTGCAGATCGATGCTCATGCTGTTGATCACTGGATTGTCTGGTCCAGACTCGATTATTTACAGACCGCCGCCATATAGCTGGAATATTGCTGAGTGCGGCGTAAAACTAAACTCACTCACTCACTCACCAACATAATGCCTCTAACAAGTTTCTAGTGTCCCGTCACAGCTTACAGTGGTTCCTCTTTACCCCAGGATCGACATAATGCCTCTAACAAGTTTCTAGTGTCCCGTCACAGCTTACACTGGTTCCACTATACACCAGGATCGACATAATGCCTCTAACAAGTTTCTAGTGTCCCGTCACAGCTTACAGTGGTTCCTCTATACCTCAGTATCGCCATAATGACTCCAACAAGTTTCTAGTGTCCCGTCACAGCTTACCGTGGTTTTTCTATACCTCAGTATCGCAATAATGACTCCAACAAGTTTCTAGTGTCCCGTCACAGCTTACAGTGGTTCCTCTATACCTCAGTATCGCCATAATGACTCCAACAAGTTTCTAGTGTCCCGTCACAGCTTACACTGGTTTTTCTATACCTCAGTATCGCAATAATGACTCCAACAAGTTTCTAGTGTCCCGTCAGAGCTTACACTGGTTCCTCTATACCCCAGGATCGACATAATGACGCCAACAAGTTTCTAGTGTCCCGTCACAGCTTACACTGGTTCCTCTATACCCCAGGATCGCCATAATGACTCCAACACGTTTCTAGTGTCCCGTCACAGCTTACACTGGTTCCTCTATACCCCAGTATTGCCATAGTGACTCCAACAAGTTTCTAGTGTCCCGTCACAGCTTACACTGGTTCCTCTATGCCTCAGTATCGCCATAGTGACTCCAACAAGTTTCTAGTGTCCCGTCACAGCTTACACTGCTCCTCTATACCTTAGTATCAACATAATGACTCCAACAAGTTTCTAGTGTCCCGTCACAGCTTGCACTGGCTCCTCTATACCTTAGTATCAACATAATGACTCCAACAAGTTTCTAGTGTCCCGTCACTGCTAACACTGGTTCCTCTATACCCCAGGATCGACATAATGCCTCTAACAAGTTTCTAGTGTCCCGTCACAGCTTACACTGCTCCTCTATACCTTAGTATCAACATAATGCCTCTAACAAGTTTCTAGTGTCCCGTCACAGCTTACAGTGGTTCCTTTATACCCCAGGATCGACATAATGCCTCTAACAAGTTTCTAGTGTCCCGTCACAGCTTACAGTGGTTCCTCTATACCTTAGTATCAACATAATGCCTCTAACAAGTTTCTAGTGTCCCGTCACAGCTTACAGTGGTTCCTCTTTACCCCAGGATCGACATAATGCCTCTAACAAGTTTCTAGTGTCCCGTCACAGCTTACACTGGTTCCACTACACCCCAGGATCGACATAATGCCTCTAACAAGTTTCTAGTGTCCCGTCACAGCTTACAGTGGTTCCTCTATACCTCAGTATCGCCATAATGACTCCAACAAGTTTCTAGTGTCCCGTCACAGCTTACAGTGGTTCCTCTATACCTCAGTATCGCCATAATGACTCCAACAAGTTTCTAGTGTCCTGTCACAGCTTACACTGGTTTTTCTATACCTCAGTATCGCAATAATGACTCCAACAAGTTCTGGTGTCCCGTCACAGCTTACAGTGGTTCCTCTATACCCCAGGATCGACATAATGACGCCAACAGGTTTCTAGTGTCCCGTCACAGCTTACACTGGTTCCTCTATACCCCAGGATCGCCATAATGACTCCAACACGTTTCTAGTGTCCCGTCACAGCTTACAGTGGTTCCTCTATACCCCAGTATTGCCATAGTGACTCCAACAAGTTTCTAGTGTCCCGTCACAGCTTACACTGGCTCCTCTATACCTTAGTATCGCCATAATGCCTCCAACAAGTTTCTAGTGTCCCGTCACAGCTTACAGTGGTTCCTCTATACCTCAGTATCGACATAATGACTCCAACAAGTTTCTAGTGTCCCGTCACAGCTTACAGTGGTTCCTCTATACCTCAGTATCGACATAGTGACTCCAACAAGTTTCTAGTGTCCCGTCACAGCTTACAGTGG